CATTCCTTACATGACAGTATTGTCCTACATTTTTTCTTTTACTTTTACTTTTTATATTACCATTGCTTTCTTTCTTTTATTTTTGTTTCGTTTTCTTCATTCCTTACATGACAGTATTGTCCATCTTTTTTTCTTTGATTTTTTCTTTTTATATTACCATTGCTTTCTTTCTTTCATTTTTGTTTCGTTTTCTTCATTCCTTACATGACAGTATTATCCTTCTTTTTTTCTTTTACTTTTTCTTTTTATATATCCATTGATTTGTTTCTTTTATTTTTGTTTCGTTTTCTTCATTCCTTACATGACAGTATTGTCCTTCTTTTTTTCTTTTTATATAACCATTGCTTTCTTTCTTTTATTTTTGTTTCGTTTTCTTCATTCCTTACATGACAGTATTGTCCTTCTTTTTTTCTTTGACTTTTTCTTTTTATATTACCATTGCTTTGTTTCTTTTTTTTTTTTGTTTCGTTTTTCTTCATTCCTTATATGACAGTATTGTCCTTCTTTTTTTTTTGACTTTTCTTTTTATATTACCATTGCTTTTTTTTCTTTTATTTTTTGTTTCGTTTTCTTCATTCCTTACATGACAGTATTTTCCTTCTTTTTTTTTTCTTTTTTTTTCTTTTTATATTACCATTGCTTTTTTTCTTTCATTTTGTTTCGTTTTCTTCATTATTTTACATGACAGTATTGCCTTCTTTTTTCTTTTGACTTTTTTTTTTTTATATTACCATTGCTTCTTTTTTATTTTTGTTTCTTTTATTTTTGTTTCGTTTTCTTCATTCCTTAAATGACAGAATTGTCCTTTCTTTTTTCTTTTTACATTTGTTTTTTTTTTTTGTTTTACTTCTTTTGCTTTGTTTCTTTTTATTTTTGTTTCTGTTTTTCTTCATTCCTTCATGACAGTATTGTCCTTTTTTTTTCTTTTGACTTTTTCTTTTTATATTACCATTGCTTTGTTTCTTTTATTTTAGTTTCGTTTTCTTCATTCCTTACATGACAGTATTGTCCTTCTTGTTTTCTTTTATTTTACTTTTTTATATTACCATTGCTTTGTTTCTTTTATTTTTGTTTCGTTTTCTTCATTCCTTACATGACAGTATTGTCCTTCTTTTTTTCTTTTATTTTTTCTTTTCATATTACCATTGTTTGTTTCTTTTATTTTTGTTTCGTTTTCTTCATTCCTTACATGACAGTATTGTCCTTTTTTTCTTTTTATATTACCATTGCTTTCTTTCTTTTATTTTTGTTTCGTTTTCTTCATTCCTTACATGACAGTATTGTCCTTCTTTTTTTCTTTTACTTTTTCTTTTTATATTACCATTGCTTTGTTTCTTTTATTTTTGTTTCGTTTTCTTCATTCCTTACATGACAGTATTGTCCTTCTTTTTTTCTTTTTGACTTTTTCTTTTTATATTACCATTGCATTCTTTTTTTATTTTGTTTCGTTTTCTTCATTCCTTACATGACAGTATTGTCCTTCTTTTTTTCTTTTACTTTTTCTTTTTATATTACCATTGCTTTGTTTCTTTTATTTTTGTTTCGTTTTCTTCATTCCTTACATGACAGTATTGTCCTTTTTTTTTCTTTGACTTTTTCTTTTTATATTACCATTGCTGTTTTGTTTTTTTATTTTTGTTTCGTTTTCTTCATTCCTTACATGACAATATTGTCCTTCTTTTTTTTCTTTTTCTTTTTTTCTTTTTTATATAACCATTGATTTGTTTCTTTTTATTTTTGTTTCGTTTTTTCATTCCTTACATGACAGTATTATCCTTCTTTTTTTTTTTTCTTTTTCTTTTTATATTACCATTTGCTTTGTTTTCTTTTATTTTTTGTTTCGTTTTCTTCATTCCTTACATGACAGTATTATCCTTCTTTTTTTCTCTTTTACTTTTTTTTTTTTTATATATCCATTGATTTGTTTCTTTTTTTTTTTTGTTTCGTTTTCTTCATTCCTTACATGACAGTATTGTCCTTCTTTTTTTTTTTGACTTTTCTTTTTATATTACCATTGCTTCCTTTTCTTTTTTTTTCTTTTATTTTTGTTTCGTTTTTCTTCTTTCCTTACATGACAGTTTTGTCCTTTTTCTTTTTTATTTTTCTTTTTCTTATTACCATTTTTTTTGTTTCTTTTTTCTTTTTTTACCATTTCTTTTTTCATTCTTTCGCTTTTCATTACTCTATGACAGTATTGTCCTTTTTTTCTTTTCTTTTTCTTTTTATATTACCATTGCTTTGTTTTCTTTCATTTTTTTTTTCATCCTTTTTTTTCATTTTCTTTCATGACATTGCTTTTTTTTTTTTCTTTTTTCTTTGACAGTATTGTCCTTTTCTTTTTATTACCATTACCATTGCTTTGTTTTTTTTATTTTGTTTCGTTTTCTTCATTCCTTACATGACAGTATTGTCCTTCTTTTTTCTTTTGACTTTTTTTCTTTTTATATTACCATTGCTTTTTTTTTCTTTTATTTTTGTTTCGTTTCATTCATTCATTCCACATTGACAGTTTTTCCTTCTTTTTTTCTTTTCTTTTTTTTTTTTTCGTTTTCTTTTTTTCCCATTGTATTTGTTTTTTTTTTTATTTTTGTTTCGTTTTCTTCATTCCTTTCTTTTTTATTTTGTTTCGTTTTTTCATTTCTTTTTTTTTTTTTTTCTTTTTTTTTTTTTTATTACCATTGCTTTGTTTTTTTTTTTTTTTTGTTTTTTTTTCATTCCTTACATGACAGTATTGTCCTTCTTTTTTTCTTTGACATTTTCTTTTTATATTACCATTGCTTTCTTTTATTTTTTTCTTTTTATTTTTTGTTTTTTTTTTCTTCATTCCTTTACATGACAGTATTTTCTTTTTTTTTTTTTTTTTTTTTATTCCATTGATTCTTTTTCTTTTTTTTTTTTTGTTTCGTTTTCTTCATTCCTTACATGACAGTATTGTCCTTCTTTTTTTTTTTTTTATTTTTTTTTTTTTTTTTTTGTTTGTTTTTTTTCATTTTATTTTGTTTCTTTTTTCTTTTATTTTTCTTTTCATATTCCATTATTTGTTTCTTTTTTATTTTTGTTTCTGTTTTCTTTTTTGACAGTATTGTCCTTCTTTTTCTTTTTTTATTTTTTTTTTTTTATATTACCATTTATTTTTCTTTTATTTTTGTTTCGTTTTTCCATTCCTTACATGACAGTATTGTCCTTCTTTTTTTCTTTTGACTTTTTTTTTATATTACCATTGCTTTGTTTTTTTTTTTTTGTTTCGTTTTCTTCATTCCTCCTTACATGACAGTATTGTCCTTCTTTTTTTTCTTTTTTTTTTTTTTATATTACCATTGATTTGTTTCTTTTATTTTTTTGTTTCGTTTCTTCATTCCTTACATGACAGTATTGTCCTTCTTTTTTTTCTTTTTACTTTTCTTTTTATATTACCATTGCTTTGTTTTCTTTTATTTTTGTTTAATTTTCTTCATTCCTTACATGACAGTATTGTCCTTCTTTTTTTTTTTCTTTTTTTTTATTTCTTTTTATTTGTTTCTTTTATTTTTTGTTTTATTTTTTTTTTCATTTCCTTCATTTTTATTGTCTTTCTTTTTTTTTTTTTTTTTTTTTCTTATTACCATTTTTTGTTTCTTTTGTTTTTTTTTTCGTTTTCTTCATTCCTTACATGACAGTATTGTCCTTTTTTTTCTTTTTTATTTTTTCTTTTTATATTACCATTGCTTTTTTTCTTTTATTTTTGTTTTCGTTTTCTTCATTCCTTACATGACAGTATTGTCCTTCTTTTTTCTTTTACTTTTTTTTTTATTTTATCCATTTCTTTCTTTTTTTTATTTTTTGTTTCTTTTCTTCATTCCTTACATGACAGTATTGTCCTTCTTTTTTTTTTTTATTTTTTTTTTATAACCATTGCTTTCTTTCTTTTATTTTTTGTTTCGTTTTCTTCATTCCTTACATGACAGTATTGTCCTTCTTTTTTCTTTGACATTTTTTCTTTTTATATTACCATTGCTTTGTTTCTTTTATTTTTTGTTTTTTTTCATTCCTTACATGACAGTATTGTCCTTCTTTTTTTTTTTTTACTTTTTTTTTTTTTACCATTCTTTGTTTCTTTTTTTTTTGTTTTGTTTTCTTCATTCCTTACATTCTTATTTTCCTTCTTTTTTTTCTTTTTACTTTTTTCTTTTTTTATATTACCATTGCTTTTCTTTTTTTATTTTTGTTTCGTTTTCTTCATTCTTACATTCCAGTATTGTCCTCTTTTTTTCTTTTTAACTTTTTCTTTTTATATTACCATTTTTGTTTCTTTTTTTTTTTTTCGTTTTCTTCATTCCTTCTTTTTTATTGTCCTTCTTTTTTTCTTTTATTTTTCTTTTTTATTCCATTTTTTTTCTTTTTATTTTTTCTTTTCGTTTTCCTCATTCCTTTTTTTTCTTTCTTGTCCTTTTTTTCTTTTTATTTTTTTTTTTTTCTTTTCCACCATTCTTTCTTTCCTTCCATTTTTTTTTCTTTTTTCTTTCTTAAATTATTTCTTTTTATCGTTTTCCTTCTTTTCATTCTTTTCCATTCTTTTTTTTCTTTTTATATTACCATTTTTTTATCCGTTTTCTTTCTTTTTTATTTTTGTTTCCTTTTCCTTCTTTTCCTTTCTCTTATTTTCTTTTTTTTTTCTTTGACTTTTCTTTTTTATATTCTTTCTTTCTTTCTTTATTTTTCTTTCTTTTTTTCATTCCTTAAATGATTTATTTTTTCTTTTTTTTTTTTATTTTTTTCTTTTCATACCATTCTTTGTTTCTTTTATTTCTTTTCGTTTTTCTTTATTTCTTACATGACATTTTCCTCCTTTTCCTTCTTTTTTCTTTTTATATATCCTCCATCTTTCTTTTTTTCTTTTTGTAAATTTTTTCTTTTTTATCGTTTCCTTCTTTTCCACCTTTTACTTTCTTTTTTTCCATTTCTTTTTCTTTCTTATTATTTTTTTTTTATCCATTTTCCTTCTCTTTTTCCACCATTCTTAGTTTTTTCCTCCATTTCTTTTTTTTTTTCTTTCTTTTTTTTTTCTTTTATCCGTTTCCTTCTCTTTTCCACCATTCTTTCTTTCCTCCATCCTTCTTTTCTTTCTTTCTTTCTTAAATTTTCTTTTTTTTTTTCCTTCTCTTTTCCTTCATTCTTTCTTTCCTCCATCCTTCTTTTTTTCTTTCTTTCTTTTTTTCTTTTTATGTTTTTTCCTTCTCTTTTCCACCATTCTTTTTTTTTTTTTCTTTTTTTTTTTTTTTTTTCTTTTCTTCCGTTTTCTTTTCCTTTTCCACCATCTTTTCTTTCCTCCATCCTTCTTTTTTCTTTCTTTCTTTTTTTTTTTTTCTTTTTTTCATTTCCTTTTCCACCATTCTTTTTTCCTCCATCCTTCTTTTTCTTTCTTTATTCTTTCTTTTATTTTTTTTTATTTTTCCTTCTTTTTTCCACCCATTCTTTTCTTTCCTCCATTCCTTTTCTTTCTTTTCTTTTCTTTTATTTCCTTTTTTTTCCTTTTTTTCTTTTCTTTTATTTTTTTTTTTTTTTCTTCATTTTTCTTTCTTTCTTTCTCCTCCATTTTTTTTTTTTTCTTTTTCTTTTTTTATTCTTTTTTCCTCTTTTTTCTTTTTTTTTTTTTTTTTTCTTTATTTTTTTTTTTTTTTTCTTTTTTTTTTTCTTTTTCATTTTTTCTTTTTTTTCCTCCATTCTCTTTCCTTTCTTTTTTTTTCTTTTTTTAAATTATTTCCTTTTATCAGTATTTTCCTTCTCTTTTCCTTTTTTCTTTTTTCTTTTTTTTTTTTCTTTCTTTTTTATTTCTTTTGTTTTTTTTTCTTTTCCACCATTCTTTCTTTCCTCCTTCTTCTTTTTCTTTTTTTCTTTTTAAATTTTTCTTTTTTCCATTTTCCTTCTCTTTTCCACTTTCTTTCTTTCCTTCATTTTTCTTTTCTTGTCCGTTTTCTTTCATTTTTCCTTTTTATCCATTTCTTTCTTTTTTATTATTTTTTGTTTTCTTTTTCTTATTTCTTTCTTTTTTTCTTTTTTTTCTTTTTTTTTTTCCTTTTCTTTTCTTTATTCTTTCTTTTCCTCCATCCTTCTTTTTCTTTCTTTTTCTTCATTCCTTATTTTTATCCGTTTTCCTTCTCTTTTCCATCATTCTTTCTTTCCTCCATCCTTCTTTTTTCTTTCTTTCTTTCTTAAATTATTTCTTTTTTATCCGTTTTCCTTCTCTTTTCCACCATTCTTTCTTTCCTCCATCCTTCTTTTTTCTTTCTTAAATTATTTCTTTTTATCCGTTTTCCTTCTCTTTTCCACCATTCTTTTTTTCCTCCATCCTTCTTTTTCTTTCTTTCTTTCTTAAATTATTTCTTTTTATCCATTTTCTTCTCTTTTCCCCATTCTTTCTTTCCTCCATCCTTCTTTTTCTTTCTTTCTTAAGTATTTCTTTTTTTTTATTTCATTTCCTTCTCTTTTCCACCATTCTTTCTTTCCTCCATCCTTCTTTTTTTTCTTTCTTTCTTTTCTTTCTTTTTTTATTTCTTTTTTATTTTTTTCCTTCTTTTTCCACCATTCTTTCTTTCCTCCATCCTTCTTTTTTCTTTCTTTCTTTCTTTCTTTCTTTTTTTTATTTCTTTTCCTTTCTTTTCCTTTTCTCTTCTTTCCTCCATCCTTTTTTTCTTTTTTTTTTTTTTCTTAAATTATTTCTTTTTATCGTTTTCCTCTCTTTTTCCACCATTCTTTCTTTCCTCCATCTTCTTTTTTCTTTTCTTTCTTTCTTAAATTATTTCTTTTTTATTGTTTTTCCTTCTCTTTTGTTTCATTCTTTCTTTCCTCCATCCTTCTTTTTTCTTTCTTTCTTTCTTTTTATTTCTTTTTTATCCATTTTTTCTTCTCTTTTCCACCATTCTTTCTTTCCTCCCATCCTTCTTTTTTTCTTTCTTTCTTTCTTTTTTCTTTTTATCCTTTTCCTTCTCTTTTCCACCATTCTTTCTTTCCTCCATCCTTCTTTTTCTTTTTTTCTTTCTTTATTTTTTTTTCCATTTTTCTTTTCTTTTCCACCATTCTTTCTTTCTTTCCTTATTTTTTTTCTTTTTTTTTCTTTCTTAAATTATTTCTTTTTTTCCATTTCCTTCTTTTTCCACCATTCTTTCTTTCCTCCATCCTTCTTTTTTTTTTCTTTCTTTCTTAAATTATTTCTTTTTTGACAGTTTCCTTCTTCTTTTCACCATTCTTTCTTTTTTTCCTTTTTTTCTTTCTTTCTTTCTTGTTTATTTCTTTTTATTTTTTCCTTCTTTTCCACCATTCTTTCTTTCCTCCATCCTTCTTTTTTTTCTTTCTTTCTTTTATTTTTTTTTTCCTTCTCTTTCCACCTCTTTTCTTTCTCTTTCCTTTTCTTTCTTTCTTTTATTTCTTTTTTTCCTTTCTTTCTTTCTCTTTTTTCTTTCTTTCCATCCTTTTTTTTTCTTTTTCTTTCTTTTCCAATTTCATTTTTTTCTTTTTTTTCTCCATTTCTTTTTCTTTCTTTCTTTCTTAAGTATTTCTTTTTATCCATTTCCTTTCTTTTCCACCATTCTTTCTTTCCTCCATCCTTCTTTTTTCTTTCTTTCTTTCTTAAATATTTCTTTTTTATCCGTTTTCCTTCTCTTTTCCACCATTCTTTCTTTCCTCCATCCTTCTTTTTCTTTCTTTCTTTCTTAAATTATTTCTTTTTTTTATCCGTTTTCCTTCTCTTTTCCACCATTCTTTCTTTTCCTCCATCTTTTCTTTTTTTTTCTTTCTTCTTAAATTTTTCTTTTTTTCCGTTTTTTTCTTCTCTTTTCCACCATTCTTTCTTTCCATCCTTTTTTTTTTTACTTTTCTTTTCTTAAATTATTTCTTTTTTATCATTTTTTCTCTTTTTTTCATTTTTCTTTTTTCCTCCATCCTTCTTTTTCTTTCTTTCTTTCTTAAGTATTTCTTTTTTATCATTTTTCCTTCTCTTTTCCACCATTCTTTTTTTTCCATCCTTTTTTTTCTTTCTTTCTTTCTTATTTTCTTTTTATCCTTTTTTTTTTTATTTTTCTTTTCCTCCATCCTTCTTTTTTCTTTTTCTTAAATTATTTCTTTTTATCGTTTTCCTTCTCTTTTCCACCATTCTTTTTTCCTCCATCCTTCTTTTTCTTTTCTTAAATTATTTCTTTTTTATCCATTTTTTCCTTCTCTTTTCCACCATTCTTTCTTTCCTCCATCCTTTTTTTTTTCTTTCTTTCTTTCTTTTATTCTTTTTTTCATTTTCCGTTTTCTTCATTCTTTCTTTCCTCCATCCTTTTTTTCTTTCTTTCTTTCTTAACTTTTTTTTTTTTTATCCATTTTCCTTCTCTTTTCCACCATTTTTCTTTCCTCCATTTTTTTTCTTTTCTTTCTTTCTTAAATCATTTCTTTTTTATCCGTTTCCTTCTCTTTTCCACCATTCTTTCTTTCCTCCATCCTTCTTTTTTCTTTTTCTTTCTTTCTTAATTATTTCTTTTTTTCGTTTTTCCTTCTTTTTCACCATTCTTTCTTTCCTCCATCCTTCTTTTTCTTTCTTTTCTTTTTTCTTAAAATTATTTCTTTTTTATCCGTTTCCTTCTCTTTTCCACCATACTTTCTTTCCTCCATCCTTCTTTTTTTTTCTTTCTTTCTAAATCATTTCTTTTTATCCATTTTCCTTCTTTCTTTTCCACCATTCTTTTTTTTCCTCATTTTTTTTTTTTTTTTTCTTTTCTTTCTTAAATCATTTTCTTTTTATCGTTTTCCTTCTCTTTTCCACCATTCTTTCTTTCCTTTTCCTTCTTTTCTTTTTTTTCTTTCTTTTTATTTCTTTTTTATCCATTTTTCCTTCTCTTTTCCACCATTCTTTCTTTCCTCCATCCCTTTTTTTTTTTTCTTTCTTAATTATTTCTTTTTATTTTTTTTCCTTCTCTTTTCCACCATTCTTTCTTTCCTCCATCCTTCTTTTTCTTTTCTTTCTTTTAAATTATTTCTTTTTATCCGTTTCCTTCTCTTTTTTCCATTCTTTCTTTTTCATCCTTCTTTTTTCTTTCTTTGCTTTTCTTTCTTTATTTCTTTTTATCCGTTTTCCTTCTCTTTTCCACCATTCTTTCTTTCCTCCATCCTTCTTTTTTCTTTCTTTCTTTCTTATATTATTTCTTTTTTCCGTTTTCCTTCTCTTTTCCACCATTCTTTCTTTCCTCCATCCTTCTTTTTTTTTTTCTTTCTTTCTTTTTATTTTTGTTTTTTTTCCTTCATTCCTTTTTGACATTATTTCTTTCCTCCATCCTTCTTTTTCTTTTCTTTTTTTTTTCTTATTATTTCTTTTTATCCTTTTTCCTTCTCTTTTCGTTTTCTTCTTTCCTCCATCCTTCTTTTTTTCTTTCTTTCTTTATTTTTTTTTTTTTTTTCCTTCTCTTTTCCACCTTTCTTTCTTTCCTCCATCCTTCTTTTTTTTTCTTTTTTCTTTCTTTTACAGTATTTCTTTTTTTGTTTTCTTTTCCTTTTTCTTTTCCTTACCATTTCTTTTTTTCCTTTTCCTTCTTTTTCTTTCTTTCTTTCTTTCCTTCTTTCTTTCTTTCTTTCTTTTATTTCTTTTTTCCATTTTTTCTCTTTTCCATTCTTTTTTCTCATCCATTTTTTTCTTTCTTTTTTCTTAAATTATTTCTTTTTCATTTTCCTTCTCTTTTCCACCATTTTTCTTTCCTCCCATCCTTCTTTTCTTTTTTTTTTCTTTTATTTCTTTTTTTTTTTCCTTCTCTTTTCCACCATTCTTTTTTCCTCCATCCTTCTTTTTTTTTCTTTTCTTTCTTATTATTTCTTTTTTTATTTTTTTCCTTCTCTTTTCCACCATTCTTTCTTTCCTCCATCCTTCTTTTTCTTTCTTTCTTTTTTCTTTTTTTTTTATCCATTTTCCTTCTCTTTTTCCACCATTCTTTCTTTCCTCCATCCTTCTTTTTCTTTCTTTCTTTCTTTTTATTTTTTTTTATCTTTTTTCCTTCTCTTTTCCATTTTTCTTTCTCCATCCATTTTTTTTTTTTCTTTCTTAAATTATTTCTTTTTATATTTTCCTTCTCTTTTCCACCATTCTTTCTTTCCTCCATCCTTCTTTTTCTTTCTTTCTTTCTTTTCTTTTTATTTCTTTTTTTCCGTTTTCCTTCTCTTTTTCCACCTTTCTTTCCTCCATCCTTCTTTTTTTCTTTCTTTCTTAAATTTTTTCTTTTCTTTCTTCTCTTTGTTTCTTTTCTTTTTTTTTCTTTTTTTCTTTCTTCATTATTTTTTTTTCATTATTTTCCTTCTTTTTCTCCATCCTTCTTTTTCCTTTTTTTTCTTTTTTTTCTTTTTTTTTTTATCCGTTTTCCTTCTCTTTTCCACCATTCTTTCTTTCCTCCATCCTTTTTTTTCTTTCTTTTCTTTCTTTGTTTCTTTTTTTTTTATCCGTTTTCCTTCTCTTTTCCACCATTCTTTCTTTCCTCCATCCTTCTTTTTTCTTTCTTTCTTTCTTAAATTATTTCTTTTTTTCATTTTTCATTCTTTTCACCATTCTTTCTTTCCTCCATCCTTCTTTTTTTTTCTTTCTTTCTTAAATTATTTCTTTTTATATTTTCCTTCTCTTTTCACCATTCTTTCTTTTTTCCATCATTCTTTTTTCTTTCTTTCTTAAAATATTCCTTTTTATCCGTTTTCCTTCTCTTTTCCACCTTTCTTTTTTCTTTCTTTCTTAAATTATTGCCTTTTATCCGCTTTCCTTCTCTTTTCCACCATTCTTTCTTTCCTCCATCCTTCTTTTTCTTTCTTTCTTTCTTTTTTATTTCTTTTTTTCCGTTTTTTCTCTTTTCCACCATTCTTTCTTTCCTCCATCCTTCTTTTTTCTTTCTTTCTTTCTTAAATCATTTCTTTTTTTCCGTTTTCCTTCTCTTTTCCACCATTCTTTCTTTCCTCCATCCTTCTTTTTTCTTTCTTTCTTTCTTAAATTTTCTTTTTTATCCGTTTCCTTCTCTTTTCCATTCTTTTTTTCCTCCTTCTTTTCTTTTCTTTTCTTTCTTTTAAGTATTTCTTTTTTTTATCCGTTTCCTTCTCTTTTCCACCATTCTTTCTTTCCTCCATCCTTCTTTTTTCTTTCTTTCTTTCTTAAATTATTTCTTTTTTTTTCCGTTTTCCTTCTCTTTTCCACCATTCTTTCTTTCCTCCATCCTTCTTTTTTCTTTCTTTCCTTATTTCTTTTTATCCATTTTCCTTCTCTTTTCCACCATTCTTTCTTTCCTCCATCTTCTTTTTTCCTTCTTTTCTTTCTTAAGTATTTCTTTTTATCCGTTTTCCTTCTCTTTTCCACCATTCTTTCTTTTTCCATCCTTTTTCTTTTTTTTTCTTTTCTTTCTTTTTTTTTTTTTTTTTATTTTTTCCTTCTCTTTTTCCACCATTCTTTCTTTCCTCCATCCTTCTTTTTTTCTTTCTTTCTTTCTTAAATTATTTCTTTTTTTATTTTCCTTCTCTTTTCCCACCATTCTTTCTTTCCTCCATCCTTCTTTTCTTTCTTTCTTTTTTTCTTTTTTTATTTTTTTCCTTCTTTTCCATTCTTTCTTTCCTCCATCCTTTTTTTCTTTCTTTTCCATTTCTTTTTTTTTTTTTCTCTTTTCCATTCTTTCTTTCCTCCATCCTTCTTTTTTTTCTTTTTTCTTAAGTATTTTCTTTTTTCCATTTTCCTTCTTTTTCCTTCATTCTTTCTTTCCCATCCTTCTTTTTCTTTCTTTTTCTTAATTTTTTCTTTTTTTTTTTCCTTTCTTTTCCACCATTCTTTCTTTCCTTTTCCTTCTTTTTTTTTCTTTTTTTCTTAACCATTTCCTTCTTTTTCCTTCTCTTTTCTTCATTCTTTCTTTCCTCCATTTCCTTTTTTTTCTTTTATTTTTTTTTTTTTTTTATTTCTTTTCACCATTCTTTCTTTTCCATCCTTTTTTTTTTTCTCTTTCTTTCTTTTTTATCCGTTTTCCTTCTTTTTTCCTTTTTCTTTTTTTTTTCCATCCTTCTTTTTTCTTTCTTTTTTTTATTTCTTTTTTTATCCTTTTTCCTTCTCTTTTCCACCATTTTTTTTTTCCTTCCTTCTTTTTTCTTTCTTTCTTTCCTTTTATTTCTTTTTTTCCGTTTTCCTTCTCTTTTCCACCATTCTTTCTTTCCTCCATCCTTCTTTTTTCTTTCTTAAATTATTTCTTTTTTATTTTTTTCCTTCTCTTTTCCATTCTTTCTTTTCCTCCTTTTTCTTTTTTCTTTCTTTTTTCTTAATTATTTCTTTTTATCCGTTTTTCCTTCTCTTTTTCCACCATTCTTTCTTTTTCCTCCATCCTTCTTTTTCTTTCTTTCTTTCTTTTATTTCTTTTTATCCGTTTCCTTCTCTTTTCACCATTCTTTCTTTCCTCCATCCTTTTTTTTTCTTTCTTAAATTATTTCTTTTTTATCCGTTTTCCTTCTCTTTTCCACCATTCTTTCTTTCCTCCATCCTTCTTTTTCTTTCTTTCTTTCTTAAATTATTTCTTTTTTATCCGTTTTCCTTCTCTTTTCCACCATTCTTTCTTTCCTCCATCCTTCTTTTTTTTTCTTTCTTAATTTTTTTTTTTTCTTTTATCATTTTTCCTTCTCTTTTCCACCATTCTTTCTTTCCTCCATCCTTCTTTTTTCTTTCTTTCTTTCTTAAATTATTTCTTTTTTATCCGTTTTCCTTCTCTTTTCCACCATTCTTTCTTTCCTCCATCCTTCTTTTTTCTTTCTTTCTTTCTTAAATTATTTCATTTTATCCGTTTTCCTTCTCTTTTCCACCATTCTTTCTTTCCTCCATCCTTCTTTTTTCTTTCTTTCTTTCTTTCTTTTTTCTTTTTTTCTTTTTCTTTTTCCACCATACTTTCTTTCCTCCATCCTTCTTTTTTCGTTCTTAAATTATTTCTTTTTTATCCGTTTCCTTCTCTTTTCCACCATTCTTTCTTTCCTCCATCTTCTTTTTTCTTTCTTTCTAAAGTATTTCTTTTTTTATCCATTTTCCTTCTTTTTTCCACCATTTTTCTTTCCTCCATCCTTCTTTTTCTTTCTTTTCTTTTCTTTATTTCTTTTTTTCCTTTTTCCTTTTCTTTTCCTCCATTCTTTCTTTCCTCCATCCTTCTTTTTCTTTCTTTCTTTCTTAAATTATTTCTTTTTTATCCGTTTTCCTTCTCTTTTCCACCATTCTTTCTTTCCTCCATCCTTCTTTTTTCTTTCTTTCTTTCTTAAATTATTTCTTTTTTATCCGTTTTCCTTCTCTTTTCCACCATTCTTTCTTTCCTCCATCCTTCTTTTTTCTTTCTTTCTTTCTTAAATTATTTCTTTTTTATCCTTTTCCTTCTCTTTTCCACCATTCTTTCTTTCCTCCATCCTTCTTTTTTTTTTTTTTTTTAATTATTTTTTTTCCATTTTCTTCTCTTTTCCACCATTCTTTCTTTTCCTCCATCCTTCTTTTTCTTTCTTTCTTTCTTTCTTAATTGTTTCTTTTTTATCCATTTTTCCTTCTCTTTTCCACCATTCTTTCTTTCCGCCATCCTTCTTTTTCTTTCTTTCTTTCTTAAATTATTTCTTTTTTATCCGTTTCCTTCTCTTTTCCACCATTCTTTCTTTCCTCCATCCTTCTTTTTTCTTTTTTAAATTATTTCTTTTTTATCCGTTTTCCTTCTCTTTTCCACCATTCTTTCTTTCCTCCATCCTTCTTTTTTCTTTCTTTCTTTCTTTCTTTCTTTCTTTCTTTCTTTTTTTTTTTTTCTTTTTTTTCTTTCCACCATTCTTTGTTTTTCTTTTTTCTTTTTCTTTTCTTTTTCTTTCTTTCTTTTTTTCTTTCTCTTTTTTCTTTTTTCCATTTTCTTTTCTTTTTTCTTTTTTTTTTTTTCTTTCGTTTTCTTTCTCTTTCCTTCTTTTTTTTTTTTCCTTTTTCTTTCTTTATTTCTTTTTTTTTTTCATTTTTCCTTCTCTTTTCCACCATTCTTTCTTTCCTTTCTTTTTTTTCTTTTTCTTTCTTAATTATTTCTTTTTTTATCCTTTTTTCCTTCTCTTTTCCACCATTCTTTCTTTCCTCCATCCTTCTTTTTTTTCTTTCTTTTCTTAATTTTTTTTTTTTATTTTTTCCTTCTCTTTTCCACCATTCTTTCTTTCCTCCATCTTTTTTTTCTTTCTTTCTTTCTTCTTATTTCTTTTTTCTTTTTTCCTTCTCTTTTTCCATTCTTTTTTTTCTTTCCTTCTTTTTTCTTTTTTTTCTTTCTTTCTTTTTCTTTTCTTTTCCACCATTTTCTTTCTTTTCCTTCTTTTTCTTTTTTTTTTTTTTTTTATCATTTCTTTTTTTTTCTTTCTTTCTTTTCCAATTCTTTTTTTTTTTTTTCTTTTCTTTCTTTTTATCACCCTTCTTTTCTTTCTTTCCATCCTTCTTTTTTCTTTCTTTCTTTCTTAAATTATTTCTTTTTTATCCGTTTTCCTTCTCTTTTCCACCATTCTTTCTTTCCTCCATCCTTCTTTTTCTTTCTTTCTTTCTTAAGTTTTTCTTTTTTATCTTTCTTTTTCCTTTTTCTTTTCCTTTATTTTTCTTTTCCTTTTTTTTCCATCTTTTCTTTTTTTTTTTTCTTTTTTTCTTAAATTATTTCTTTTTATCCATTTTCCTTCTCTTTTCACCATTCTTTCTTTCCTCCATTCTTTCTTTTTTTTTTCTTTCTTAAATTATTTCTTTTTTATCCGTTTTCCTTCTCTTTTCCACCATTCTTTCTTTCCTCCATCCTTCTTTTTTCTTTCTTTCTTTCTTAAATTATTTCTTTTTTATCCGTTTTCCTTCTCTTTTCCACCATTCTTTCTTTCCTCCATCCTTCTTTTTTTTTTCTTTCTTTCTTAAATTATTTCTTTTTTATCCGTTTCCTTCTCTTTTCCACCATTCTTTCTTTCCTCCATCCTTCTTTTTCTTTTCTTTCTTTCTTATTTCTTTTTTTCCATTTTCCTTCTCTTTTCCACCATTCTTTCTTTCCTCCATCCTTCTTTTTCTTTCTTTCTTTCTTAAGTTTTATTTTTTTTTTCTTTTTCCTTCTCTTTTCCACCATTCTTTCTTTCCTCCTTCCTTTTTTTCTTTTTTTCTTTCTTAAATTATTTCTTTTTATCTTTTTCCTTCTCTTTTCCCACCATTCTTTCTTTCCTCCATCCTTCTTTTTTTTTTCTTTCTTTCTCTTTTATTTTCTTTTTTCCATTTTTCCTTCTCTTTTCCACCATTCTTTCTTTCCTCCATCCTTTTTTTTTCTTTCTTTTTATTTTATTTCTTTTTATCATTTTCCTTCTCTTTTCCACCATTCTTTCTTTCCTCCTTTTTTCTTTTCTTTCTTTCTTAAGTATTTTTCTTTTTTCTTTTTTTTCCTTCTCTTTTTCACCATTCTTTCTTTCCTCCATCCTTCTTTTTCTTTCTTTCTTTCTTCTTTATTTCTTTTTTTCCTTTTCCTTCTCTTTTCCACCATTCTTTCTTTCCTTTCTCCTTTCTTTTTTTCTTTCTTTCTTTTCTTTTTATTTTTTTCCTTTCTTTTTTTCTTTCTTTTTCCTTCTTTTTTTCTTTTTATTTCTTTTTATCCATTTTCTTTCTTTCCTCCATTCTTTCTTCCCATTTTCTTTTTTCTTTCTGCATTATTTTTTTTTTTTCATCATTTTCCTTCTCTTTTCCACCATTCTTTCTTTCCTCCATCCTTCTTTTTCTTTTTTTCTTAAATTATTTTCTTTTTTATCATTTTCCTTCTTTTTTTCCACCATTCTTTCTTTCCTCCATCCTTCTTTTTTTTCTTTTTTTCTTTCTTATTGTTTTCTTTTTATCTTTTTTCCTTCTCTTTTCCACCATTCTTTCTTTCTTTCCTTTCTTTCTTTTTTTCTTTCTTTCTTAATTATTTTTTTTTATCATTTTCCTTCTCTTTTCCACCATTTCTTTCTTTTCCTTTATTTCCTTTTTTCTTTCTTTCTTTCTTAAATTATTTCTTTTTATCCGTTTTCCTTCTCTTTTCCACCATTCTTTCTTTCCTCCATCCTTCTTTTTTCTTTCTTTCTTTCTTAAATTATTTCTTTTTTATCCGTTTCCTTCTCTTTTCCACCATTCTTTCTTTCCTCCATCCTTCTTTTTTCTTTCTTTCTTTCTTAAATTATTTCTTTTTTTCTTTTTTCCTTCTTTTCTTTTTTCCATCCATTCTTTCTTTTCCTTTTTTTCCTTCTTTTTTTTTTTTCTTTTTTCCTTTTTTTCTTTTTATTCCATTTTTCTTTTCTTTTATTTTTTTTTCTTTCTTTTTCCTCCATTTCTTTTTTGTCCCTCCTTTCTTTCTTTCTTTCTTTTAATTATTTCTTTTTACTTTCCGTTTTCCTTCTCTTTTTCCACCATTCTTTCTTTCCTCCATCCTTCTTTTTCTTTTCTTTTTCTTTCTTAAATTATTTTCTTTTTATATTTTTTTCCTTCTCTTTTCCACCATTCTTTCTTTCCTCCATCCTTCTTTTTCTTTCTTTTTTCTTAAATTATTCTTTTTTATCCATTTTCCTTCTCTTTTCCACCATTCTTTCTTTTCCTCTTTTTCTTTCTTTCTTTCTTTCTTTCTTTTTTTTTTTTATCATTTTTCCTTCTCTTTCACATTTTTTTTCCTCCATCCCCTTCTTTTTCTTTCTTTTCTTTCTTAATTTTTTTTTCCATTTCCTTCTTTTTCACCATTCTTTCTTTCCTCCATTTTTCTTTTTCTTTCTTTCTTTCTTAAATTATTTCTTTTTTATCGTTTTTTCCTTCTCTTTTCCACCATTCTTTCTTTCCTCCATCCTTCTTTTTCTTTCTTTCTTTCTTAATTATTTCTTTTTTGTCATTTTTCCTTCTCTTTTCCACCATTCTTTCTTTCCTCCATCTTCTTTCTTTTTTCTTAAATTATTTCTTTTTCTTCAGGTTTTTTTCCTTTTCTTTTCCATTCTTCTTTCCTCCATCCTTCTTTTCTTTCTTTCTTTCTTAATTATTTCTTTTTTTCATTTCCCTTCTCTTTTCCGTCATTTTCTTTCCTTTTCCTTTTTTTTCTTTCTTTTTATTTTTTTTTTTTATTTTTTCCTTCTTTTTTTTCCTTTCTTTTTTCCATCCATCTTTTCTTTTCTTTTTTTCTTTCTTAAATTATTTCTTTTTTATCCGTTTTCCTTCTCTTTTCCACCATTCTTTCTTTCCTCCATCCTTCTTTTTTCTTTCTTTCTTTCTTAAATTATTTTTTTTTTATCCGTTTTTCTCTTTTCTTTTCTTTCTTTCCTCCTTTTTTCTTTTCTTTTTCTTTTTTCTTTCTTACTTTATTTCTTTTTTATCCTTTTTCCTTCTCTTTTCTTTCCATTTTTTCTTTCCTCCATCCTTCTTTTTCTTTCTTTCTTTCTTTCTTAATTTATTTTTTTATCGTTTTCCTTCTCTTTTCCACCATTTTTTTTCCTCCATCCTTCTTTTTCTTTCTTTCTTTCTTGTTTATTTCTTTTTATTTTTTCCTTCTCTTTTCCTTCATTCTTTCTTTCCTCCATCCTTTTTTTTTTTTTTTTTTTTCTTTTTATTTCTTTTTTATCCATTTCCTCCTCTTTTTTTCTTTTTCTTTTTTTTTTTCATCCTTCTTTTTCTTTTCTTTTCTTTCTTATCCTTATTTCTTTTTTCCTTTTCCTTCTCTTTTCACCATTCTTTCTTTTCCATCCTTCTTTTTCTTTTCTTTCTTTTTTCTTTTTCTTTTTTATATTTCCTTTCTTTTCTTTCCTTTTTTTTCTTTCTTTTCTTTCTTTCTTTTTTCTTTTTTATTTCTTTTTTTTTTTTTCTTCTCTTTTTTCCTTTTCTTTCCTCCATCCTTCTTTTTTTTTTTTTTCTTTCTTTTAAATTATTTCTTTTTATCTTTTTCCTTCTCTTTTCCACCATTTTTCTTTCCTCCATCCTTCTTTTTCTTTCTTTTCTTTTTCTTTTTTTATCGTTTTCCTTCTCTTTTTCACCATTCTTTCTTTCCTCTTTTTTCCTTTTTTTCTTTCTTAAATCTTTTTTTTTTATCTTTTCCTCTTCTCTTTTTCTTTCTTTTTTCTCCATTTTTTTTTCTTTCTTTTTATTTCTTTTTTATTGTTTTGTTTCTTTTTCCACCATTCTTTCTTTTTCCATCCTTCTTTTTCTTCTTTTTTTTTTCTTTTTATTTCTTTTTATCCATTTTTCTTTTTCTCTTTTCCACCATTTTTTCTTTCCTCATTTTTTTTTTTCTTTCTTTCTTTTTTCTTTATTTCTTTTTTTCTTTTTTTTTTTCCTTCTCTTTTCCACCATTCTTTCTTTTTTCCATCCTTTTCTTTTCTTCTTTCTTTCTTTCTTATTTCTTTTTTATTTTTTTTTCCTTCTCTTTTCCCATTTCTTTCTTTCTTTTTCATTTTTTTTTTTTTTCTTCTTTCTTAAATTATTTCTTTTTTCTTTTTCCTTTCTTTTCACCATTCTTTCTTTCCTTTTTCCTTTTTTTCTTTCTTTCTTTCTTAATTATTTCTTTTTTGTCGTTTTCCTTCTCTTTTTCCACCATTCTTTCTTTCCTCCATCCTTTTTTTTTTCTTTCTTTCTTAATTATTTCTTTTTTCATTTTTTTTCCTTTTTTTTTTCACCATTCTTTTTCTTTCCTCCATCCTTCTTTTTTCTTTCTTTTTTTTCTTTTTTATTTCTTTTTTTTATCCATTTCCTTTCTCTTTTCCACCATTCTTTCTTTCCTCCAAATTTCTTTTTTTCTTTCCATTTCTTAATTTCTTTTTTTTTTTCGTTTTTCCTTCTCTTTTCCTTCCATTCTTTCTTTCCTTTTTTCTTTTTCTTTTTCTTTTTTCTTTCATTTTTTTTATTTCTTTTTTTTTTCGTTGGATTTTTTTCTCTTTTTCACCTTCGTTTTTCTTTCCTCCTTTCCTTCTTTTCTTTCTTTCTTTCTTTAATTTTTCTTTTTATCCTTTTTTCCTTCTCTTTTCCATTCATTTTTTTTTCCATCCTTCTTTTTCTTTCTTTCTTTCTTTTATTTTTTTTATTTTTCCTTCTCTTTTTTTCATTTTTTCTTTCCTCCATCCCTTCTTTTTTCTTTCTTTCTTATATTTTTTTCTTTTATATATTTCCTTCTCTTTTCCACCATTCTTTTTCCTCCATCCTTCTTTTTTTTTCTTTTTTTAAATTATTTCTTTTTATCTTTTTTTCCTTCTCTTTTCCACCATTCTTTTTTCCTCCATCCTTCTTTTTTTTCTTTCTTTTCTTTCTTAATTATTTCTTTTTCCGTTTTCCTTCTCTTTTTCCACCATTCTTTCTTTCCTCCATCCTTCTTTTTTTTTCTTTCTTTCTTTTTTTATTTTTTTTTCTTCCATTTTCCTTCTCTTTTTCCATTCTTTTTCCTCCATTTTCTTTTTTTTCTTTCTTTGTTTTATTTTTTTTTTCGTTTTTCATTTATCTTTTCCATTCTTTCTTTCCTCCATCCTTTTTTTTCTTTTTCCATTTCTTTTTTTTTTTCTTTTTTTTTTTTCTTTTCTTTTCCTCCATCCTTCTTTTTCTTTCTTTTTTTTAAAGTATTTCTTTTTTTATTTTTCCTTCTCTTTTCCACCATTCTTTCTTTTCCATCCTTTTTTTTTTTTTCTTTTTTATTCTTTTTTTAAATTTTTCCTTCTCTTTTCCACCATTCTTTCTTTTCCTTCATCCTTCTTTTTTTTTCTTTTCTTTCTTTCCCTTTCTTTTTTATCTTTCTTCTTTTTTTTCTTTCTTTCTCAGTTCTTCCTTCTTTTCTTTCTTTCTTTCTTTTATTCTTTTTTTCTTTTCCTTCTTTTTTTTTTTTTTTTTTTTCTTTCTTTCCTCCATCCTTTTTTTTTTTTTTTCTTTCTTTTTCTTTTTTTATCCAGTATTTCCTTTCTTTTCCTCCATTTTTTCTTTTTTTCTTTTTTCTTTCTTTTTTATTTTTTTTTTTTATTTTTTTTCTTTCTCTTTTCCACCATTCTTTCTTTCCTCCATCCTTTTTTTCTTTCTTTCTTTCTTTTTTTTTTTTTATGATATTTTCCTTCTCTTTTTTTTTTTTTTTTTTTTCTCCATCCATTCTTTTTCTTTCTTTTTTTTTTTTATTTTTTCTTTTTTATTATTTCCTTCTCTTTTCCACCATTCTTTTTTCCTCCATCCTTCTTTTTTTTCTTTTTTTTTATATTATTTCTTTTTATCCATTTCCTTCTCTTTTTCCACCATTCTTTCTTTCCTCCATCCTTCTTTTTTTCTTTCTTTCTTTTCTTAAATTATTTCTTTTTTATCCTTTTTCCTTTCTTTTCCACCATTCTTTCTTTCCTCCATCCTTCTTTTTCTTTTTCTTTCTTAAATTATTTCTTTTTATCCATTTCCTTCTCTTTTATTGTCCATTCTTTTTTTCCTCCACTTTTCTTTTTCTTTTTTCTTTCTTTCTTTTTATTTCATTTTTTTTTTTTTCATTTCTTTCTTTCCACCATTCTTTCTTTTTCCCTTTCTTTTTCTTTTTTCTTTCTTTAAATTATTTCTTTTTTTTTTCATTTCCTTTCTTTTCCTTCCATTCTTTCTTTCCTCCATCCTTCTTTTTTTTTTCTTTCTTTTTATATTATTTCTTTTTATTTCTTTTTTCCTTTTCTTTTCTTTTCTTTCTTTCCTCCATCCTTCTTTTTCTTTCTTTTTTTTCTTTTATTTTTTCTTTCTTTTTACCATTCTTTCTTTCCTCCATCCTTCTTTTTCTTTTTTTTTTTATTTTCCATTTCCTTCTTTTCCACCTTTCTTTCTTTCCTCCATCCTTCTTTTTTTCTTTCTTTTTCTTTCCATTTTCTTTTTTATCTTTTTTCCTTCTTTTTTCCATTTTTCTTTTTTCCTTCTTTTGCAGTTTTGTTTCTTAAATTATTTCTTTTTTTATCATTTTTCCTTCTCTTTTCCACCATTTTTTCTTTCCTCCATCCTTTTTTTTTCTTTCTTAAATTATTTTTTTTTTTTTCATTTTCCTTCTCTTTTCCACCATTCTTTCTTTTCCTCTTTTCCTTTTTTTTTTTTTCTTAAATTATTTCTTTTTATTTTTCCTTCTATTTTTCCACCATTCTTTCTTTCCTCCATCCTTCTTTTTCTTTTTTCTTTCTTTTTTTTTTTTTTTTTTTTTTTTCTCTTTTCACCATTCTTTTCTTTCCTTCCTTCTTTTCTTTGTTTCTTTCTTTTTTCTTCATTTTCCTTCTTTTCCCCTTTTTTTCTTTTTTTCTTTTTCTTTCTTTCTTTCTTCATCCTTTTTTTATGTTTCCTTCTCTTTTCCTTTTCTTTCTTTCCTCCATCCTTTTTCTTTTCTTTTTTCTTTTATTTCTTTTTTTTCCTTCTTTTCCTTTTTTCTTTCCTCCATCCCTTCTTTTTTCTATTCTTTATTTTTTTTTTTTTCCGTTTTCCTTCTCTTTTCCCACCATTCTTTCTTTCCTCCATCCTTCTTTTTTTTTCTTTTTTTATTTCTTTCATTTTTTCCATTTTCCTTCTCTTTTCCACCATTCTTTCTTTCCTCCATTCTTTTTTTCTTTTTTTTTTCTTAAATTATTTTCTTTTTATTTGTTTCCTTCTCTTTTCCTTCTTTCTTTCTCCATCCTTTCTTTTTCTTTCTTTCTTTTTATATTATTTCTTTTTTATCCGTTTTTCCTTCTCTTTTTTCACCATTCTTTCTTCTTTCATCCTTTTTTTTTTCTTTCTTTTTTTCTTTTTTTTTTATTTTTTTCTTTCTTTTTTTCCTTTTTTTTCTTTCTTTTTATGACTCCATTTCTTTTTTTTTTCTTTCTTTTTATTTTTTTTTTATCCATTGTTTCTTTTTTACCATTTTTTTTCTTCATTTTTTTTTTTTTCTTTCTTTCTTTTTCTTTTTTCTTTTTTTTTTCTTTCCTCCATTTTCTTTCTTTTCTTTTTCTTTTTTCTTTTTTTCATTTTCTTCTTTTTTTCATCCATTCTTTTCTTTCCTCCATTTCTTTTTTTTTTTTCTTTCTTCGTTTTTTCTTTTTTATTCCGTTTCCTTCTCTTTTCTTTTATTTTTTTCTTTTTCCTTCTTTTTTCTTTCTTTCTTTCTTGTATTTTTTATCCTTTCCTTCTCTTTTCCACCATTCTTTTTTTCCTACTTCCTTTTTTTTCTTTCTTTCTTTTCTTTTTTGTTTCATTTCTTCATTTTTTCCTTCTGCTTTTCCTTCATTTTTCTTTGACTTTTCTTTTTTTATTACCATTCTTTCTTCTTTTTATTTTTGTTTCGTTTTCTTCATTTCTTTTTCCACCATTCTTTCTTTTTTTTCTTTTACTTTTCTTTTTTATTACCATTGCTTTTTTTTTTTTATTTTGTTTCGTTTTCTTCATTCTTTCTTGACAGTATTCTTTTTCTTTTTTCTTTGATTTTTTCTTTTTTATTACCATTTTTCTTTTCTTTTTTTTCATTTTTTGTTCCTCTTTTTTCTTTCCTTTAAATGACATTTTTTTTTCTTTTTTTTCCTTTCTTTTTTTCCATTCTTAAATCCTTATCCTTCTTTTTTTTCTTTCTTTCTTTTTTTTTTTTTTCCATTTTCTTCTCTTTCCATTCTTTCTTTTCCTCCATCCTTCTTTTTTTTTTTTCTTTTTTCTTTTTTTTTACCATTTCCTTTCTTTTCCACCATTTTTTGTTTCGTTTTCTTTTTCATTCCTTTCTTTGACAGTATTTCATTTTTTCTTTTCCTTTTTCTTTTTATATTACCATTCTTTCTTTCTTCCATTTTTTTTTTCTTTTCTTTCATTTTTCTTTTTTCTTTATTTTTCTTTTTATATTACCATTTATTTTCCTTCTTTTTCTTTTTCTTTTTCTTTTATATTATTCCATTCTTTTTTTCTTTTTTCCACCATTTTTGTTTCTTTTTTTTTTTCGTTTCCTTCATTTTATCTTTATTGTCCTTCTTTTTTCTTTTTTTTTTTCTTTTATATTACATTCTTTCTTTCTTTTATTTTTTTTTTTTTATTTCTTTTTTTCCGTTTTTTTTCTTTTTTTTTTTGTCCTTTCTTTTTTTCCTTTTTCTTTTCTTTTTGTTTCGTTTTCTTCATTCCTTCCTTTCTTTTTTTTTATTTTTCTTTACTTTTTTTTATATTGTTTCTTTTTTTCTTTTATTTTTCCTTCTTTTTCTTCATTTTTTTCTTTTTATTTCTTTTTCTTTTTTTCTTTTATTTTTTTTCTTTTTTTTTCGTTTTCATTTTTCCATGACAGTATTGTCCTTCTTTTTCTTTTACTTTTCTTTTTATTTTACCATTTTCTTTCTTTTTTTTTTGTTTTTTTTTTTTTCGTTTTCCTTCCTTCTTTTTTTCTTTTCTTTTTTCTTTTTTTCTTTTTTTTCTTTTATTTTTTTTCGTTTCTTTCCTTTTTTTTTTTTTTTTTTTTTTCTTTTCTTCATTCCATTCCTTTTGTTTCTTTCTTTTGTTTCTTTTTTTTTCTTTTCATTTTTTTTCTTTTATATTCCTTCATTTCTTTCCTTTCTTTTTTTTTGTTTTGTTTTCTTCATTTTCCTTCTATGACTTTATTGTCCTTTTTTTCTTTTTTACTTTTCTTTTTTATATTACCATTGCTTTGTTTCTTCCATTTTTGTTTCGTTTTCTTCATTTCCTTACATGACAGTATTGTCCTTTTTTTTCTTTTTTTTTTCTTTTTTTATTACCATTTTTCTTTTTTTATTTTTCTTTTTTTTCTTTTCTTTCTTTCTTTTCAGTATTTTTTTTCTTTTTTTTTTCTGATTTTTCTTTTTATATTACCATTTCTTTTTCTTTCTTTTATTTTTCTTTTTTCTTTTTCTTTTTTTTTTTTTTTTTTCTTTTTTCTACCATTTTTCTTTTTTTTTCTTCTTTTTTCTTTGTTTCTTTTTTTTGTTTTTTTTCTTCATTTCTTACATATTTATTTTCCTTCTTTTTCTTTTACTTTTTCTTTTTTTCCTCCATTCCTTCTTTTCTTTTTTTTTTTTGTTAAATTTTCTTCATTTTCCATCAGTATTTCCTTCTTTTTTTTTTTCTTTTCTTTTTTATATTCCATTCTTTTTCTTTCTTTTTTTTTGTTTCGTTTTTCTGTTTCCTTCATTTTTATTTTTTATCTTTTTCTTTTCTTTTTTTTCTCCATTTTTCTTTTTTCTTTTTCTTTCATTTCTTTTCTGACTTCCTTTCTTTTTTATTTTCCTTTTTTCTTTTATTCCATTCTTCTTTCTTTCCTTTTTTTTCTTTTTTTTTCTTTCTTGTCCTTCTTTTTTTCTTTTTTATCCTTTTATATCTCATTTTTCTTTCTTTTATTTTGTTTCCTTTTTCTTCATTCTTTCTGACAGTATTGTCCTTTTTTTTTCTTTGATTTTCTTTTTCTATTACCATTGCTTTCTTTCTTTTTTTTTGTTTCTTTTTCTTCATTCCTTTCTGACAGTATTGTCCTTTTTTTTCTTTGACTTTTTCTTTTTTATATTACCATTTGCTTTCTTTTTCTTTTTTTTTTGTTTCTTTTTTTCTTCATTCCTTACATTTCTTTCCTATTTTCCTTCTTTTTTTCTTTTACTTTTTCTTTTTTTTCCATTTTCTTTTCTTTCTTCCATTTTTGTTTCGTTTTTCTTCATTCCTTTCTTTTTATTGTCCTTCTTTTTTTCTTTTTCATTTTTCTTTTTTATTACCATTGCTTTGTTTCTTTTTTTTTTTTTTCTTTCTTTCTTTCTGAGTATTGTCCTTCTTTTTCTTTTCCTTTTTTCTTTTTTTTCCATTTTTCTTTTTTTATTTTTTTCTTTTTCTTTTCTTACATTATTTCTTTTTTTTCTTTTTTTTTCTTTTCATATTCCTTTATTTTGTTTCTTTTATTTTTCTTTTCTTTTCTTCATTTTTACTTTCCTTCTTTTTTCTCCATTTTTCTTTTATATTACCATTCTTTCTTTCTTTTATTTGTGTTTCGTTTTCTTCATTCCTTACATGACAGTATTTTCCTTCTTTTTCTTTTACTTTTTCTTTTTATATTACCATCCTTCTTTTTTCTTTCTTTTATTTTTTTTTCTTTTTCTTTCATTTTTCTTTCTTTTCCACCATTCTTTTTTTCTTTTTTCTTTTTTTTCTTTTTTTATATTACCATTGTCTTTTTTTCTTTTTTTTTTTTCTTTTCTTCATTTCCTTACATCCTTCAGTATTGTCCTTCTTTTTTTTTTGACTTTTTCTTTTTATATTTCCCATTGCTTTCTTTCTTTTATTTTTGTTTCGTTTTCTTCATTCCTTACATGACTTTTTTTATTGTCCTTCTTTTTTTCTTTATTTTTCTTTTATTTTACCATTTTTGTTTCTTTTATTTTAGTTTCGTTTTCTTCATTCCTCCATTCTTTTATTGTCCTTCTTTTTTCTTTTTTTTTTTTTTTTTTATATTACCATTGCTTTTCTTTCTTTTTTATTTTTGTTTCATTTTCTTTTTCCTTACATGACAGTATTTTCTGCTTTTTTTCTTTTACTTTTTCTTTTTATATTACCATTGATGTTTTCTTTTATTTTGTTTCTTTTTTCTTCATTTCTTTTTATCAGTATTGTCTTTTTTTTCTTTACTTTTTTCTTTTTATATTACCATTGCTTTCTTTCTTTTTTTTTGTTTCATTTTTCTTCATTCCTTATGACAGTATTGTCCTTCTTTTTTCTTTGACTTTTTCTTTTTATATTACCATTGTTTTCTTTCTTTTATTTTTGTTTCATTTTCTTCATTCCTTTTATCATATTGTCCTTTTTTTTTTTTATATTACCATTGCTTTTCTTTCTTTTATTTTTGTTTCGTTTTCTTCATTTCCTTACATGACAGTATTGTCCTTTTTTTTCTTTGATTTTTCTTTTTATATTACCATTGCTTTGTTTCTTTTATTTTTGTTTCGTTTTTCTTCATTCCTTATATGACAGTATTGTCCTTCTTTTTTTTTCTTTTCTTTTTATATTACCATTGCTTTTTTCTTTTATTTTTTTTGTTTTCTTCATTCCTTACATCCAGTATTGTCTTTCTTTTTTTTTTTACTTTTTTTTTTATATTACCATTGCTTTCTTTTCTTTTATTTTTTTTCTTTTTTTTCTTTCCTTAAATGACAGTATTGTCCTTCTTTTTCTTTTACTTTTTCTTTTATATTACCATTCTTTCTTTCTTTTATTTTTCTTTTTTTCGTTTTCTTCATTCCTTATTTGACAGTATTGTCCTTCTTTTTTTCTTTGACTTTTTCTTTTTATATTACCATTGCTTTCTTTTTTTTTTTTTGTTTCGTTTTCTTCTTTTCCTTACATGACATTATTGTCCTTCTTTTTTTCTTTTGACTTTTCTTTTTTTATATTATTATTTCTTTTCTTTCTTTTATTTTGTTTCATTTTTCTTCATTCCTCCATCCAATATTGTCCTTTTTTTCTTTTACTTTTTCTTTTTTATATTACCATTGCTTTCTTTCTTTTATTTTTTGTTTCATTTTTTCTTCATTTCCTTACGTCATTATTGTCCTTCTTTTTTCTTTTACTTTTTTCTTTTTATATTACCATTGCTTTCTTTTTTTTTATTTTGTTTCGTTTTCTTCTTTCCTTACATCACAGTATTGTCCTTCTTTTTTCTTTACTTTTCTTTTATATTACCATTGCTTTTCTTTCTTTTATTTTGTTTCGTTTTCTTCATTCCTTGTCACAGTATTGTCCTTCTTTTTTTCTTTTACTTTTCCTTTTATATTACCATTGCTTTCTTTTTTTTATTTTGTTTCGTTTTTCTTCATTCCTTATATCACAGTATTTTCCTTCTTTTTTTCTTTACTTTTCTTTTTATATTACCATTGCTTTCTTTCTTTTATTTTTGTTTCGTTTTCTTCATTCCTTCTTAGTATTGTCCTTCTTTTTCTTTTACTTTTTCTTTTATATTACCATTTTTCCTTTTCTTTTATTTTTTTTCGTTTTCTTCATTCCTTACATGACATTATTGTCCTTCTTTTTCTTTTTCTTTTTTTCTTTTTATATTACCATTGCTTTCTTTCTTTTATTTTTTGTTTCGTTTTTCTTCATTCCTTACATGACAGTATTGTCCTTCTTTTTTCTTTTACTTTTTTTCTTTTTATATTACCATTGTCCTTTCTTTCTTTTATTTTGTTTCGTTTTTCTTCATTCCTCCATCCTTCTTATTGTCCTTCTTTTTTTCTTTGAATTTTTTCTTTTTTATATTACCATTGCTTTCTTCTTTTATTTTTGTTTCGTTTTCTTCATTCCTTACATGACAGTATTTCCTTCTTTTTCTTTGATTTTTTCTTTTTATATTACCATTGCTTTCTTTCTTTTATTTTTGTTTCATTTTCTTTTTTCCTTACATGACAGTATTTCCTTCTTTTTTTTTTTACTTTTCTTTTATATTACCATTGTTTGTTTCTTTTATTTTTTGTTTCGTTTTCTTCATTCCTTTATCTGTATTGTTTTTCTTTTTTCTTTTACTTTTTCTTTTTATATTACCATTGCTTTCTTTCTTTTATTTTTGTTTCGTTTTCTTCATTCCTTACATGACAGTATTGTCCTTCTTTTTTCTTTGACTTTTTCTTTTTATATTACCATTGCTTTCTTTCTTTTATTTGTGTTTCGTTTTCTTCATTCCTTACACGTCTGTATTGTCTTTCTTGTTTTCTTTTACTTTTTCTTTTTATACTACCATTGACTTCTTTCTTTCTTTATTTCTCCCTTTCCTTTTGTCTGTTTTAAATGATCTCACTTTGAGAAAACTTAAACATGTATAGCTGGCTACTCGCTTCGGGAATACCTGTCTGAGAGGACGCCTACTCAATCCCAATTGCAGACGCTTGCTCAGGTGCATTTTTTTGTTTATTTAACACCCACCTGTTGTTTATACTGCAACAATGTTGAGCAGACCTTTGTTACAGTTTCTACTAAAGAGCGTGTTATCTAGTGTGAACAAAATTTGAACAAAAACAGCACGCTCAAGCCCTCGGCCACGATGACTCGTGACTTCGTGCTAGCCCAACTTTCGACGGCCCCCAAGCGTTCCGTCTACTCAATTTTTACTCACAAGGCATGGGCATGGATTTTTAGGCACTTTCCAAGGGTGCGTACACTGGGATCGACCCCACATGTCCGATAACACATCGACCATGGTAAAATACGAACCCGAGTCTCATGGTCAGATTGCGAACGTTCTACCCACGTGTCCATAAACAGACGCGCGCACAAACACACACACACACACACACACGCACACACACACACAGACATATATATATATATATATATATATATATATATATATATATATATATATATATATATTGGTTACATAATTATCAGGCGTGTTGGTAGTCCACATTATTTGTTGAGAAAAATTGATGTTTTATTTTTTTTTACAAAAATATTGTGGAATTGTTATGTTTTTTCATAATAAATATTATTTTAAAAAACGCCAAACTAATATATATATATAATATATATATATATATATATATATATATATATATATATATATACATGTAAATATACACATACATGTATGCAAAATATATAAATATATAAATAAGTGCATACACATACATGTATATTTTTGAATAAAAAATTTTAAGAGGATAGAATGCAGGTAGAACAACCGACAACATTCATATTTCTCTTACTTAAACCCCTTCCACTCACCTCTCCTAAAATTTCTCTGTTAAGGTTTTAATCTCCTCCTTCTCGTCTGTTACCCCCTCTTTAGCTCTAACATTCACACTGTACCCACATTCTCTCTAAATTCTGTTTTTTTTTCCGGTGTTGTTTTTTCTGTTTTTCTTTTTGAATTTGTAGGTCTGATGAATTGATCGTATTTATGATTCAATGGAATAAATTATGACCATGAATATTAGTGTTTTAAACCTTTTTATTATATATATGTATATATATATATATATATATAATAATATATATATATATATATATATATATATATATATATATATATATATATATATGTGTGTGTGTGTGTGTGTGTGTGTGTGTGTGTGTGTGTGTGTATATTTTATATCAGGAACAATATAGGGAAATATTGTATAACCAAGTGGAAACAAATTTTTCTTGTGACGCGTTTCTTACTTTTGGTTTTCATCGGGCTAAATGTGTTATGTTTGTGCCCCCTACACACACGCACGAACCACACATGATGGGAAATTTAAATTAAATTTTTTTTCTAGTAAATTTAATTTAGATTCTTTTTCCTTTTTCTTTCTGTCGCTATTTTTACACAAAAGATACATTTTACAAGCAATACATCAAATGCATAGGTTGCCCACTGTATCGAGACTGGCCACAATTTTGACATAAAAATATGCTAGTCATATCACAGGAGAAAACAATTCAGTACAGCGAAAATGTTTAGACAGTGCCTTAATCGCAGGGTCAATTACAGTAAATTTGCATCCGGGCTCTTACAATATTTCAACATTCCTTAGTAGAACATTATCAATTAACAAAACGATGGAAAGAAAAAGAATCTCAATAAAACCGGCTAGAAAAAAATTAATTTTAAGTTTCCAAACATCCCTAAATTTGTAACAAAATCTTTTCCCTTTTGTCATATATATATATATATATATATATATATATATATATATAAACAGGCACCACATATAATTTCATTATAGTGGTGAAGTCTTTCTGCAAATGCAACCACACATTTACAAGGAGGCACGGTGGAGTAGTGGATAGCGGCTCGGATTGTATTCGGCCCTATATATATATATATACATATATATATATATATATATTGGCCTGACGATTGCGCCTAGCATGAAACAGCCTATATACGAAAACTTAAGGAATCAGGATATATGCTAGGCCACAAACATCTTCGAAGCCGGCCAAGCATAGAAATGAATACAATATGGGATGCAGTAATACGGCCTGCGAGATAAAAGCAATAATAACAACAAGCATGAGCTCTGGTAAATAAAGGGTTACTGAGATATTAAATTTATAAGTGCCCAAAACTTCATAGGCTGATGTCGTAAAAGAACACATGTTCCAGTGGATAAAGGCGTTGGTTGGATCTAGCGACTTGGTGCAAAGAGTAGTGAGTTCATTAGTTGAACAAAAACTTGGAGAACTAAAGAGGTTTGGGACTAGAACAATCTACTCCAGACTACGAATTTTAGGGTTCAGTTCCAAATTCCAATCCCATGAAGAAGGCCGGAGCCTACAACGGCCGAAACGTCGTGCATATAGCAATAAAGATGTTATATAGAAATAAAGTCTCGCTGCCGATACTTGAGTTTGAACATAGATCGCCAGTGAGCAAACACAGGCGATCCCATTATTGAATTAGATTATTTGAAGTAGATCACGTGATCATAAAGAAAACGCACAAATAGAAAGTAGCGTGGCGTCTTATTGATCACCATTTCTATTATATACTATACACAATACGGATCGCTATTCTCTACTCTATTCACTATACTATTTCTCTATTCGAATCTCTATACGGATTACTGCTCGAGCGAGTATTATCGAGCAAGTACTGTGAGTGCGAGTGTTATTCGAAGGCGTCTGACACCAGTATTGTTCAACGGCGTTACTATAACTGTAATCTGCGATTACAAAGTCTCTACTACAACGAGCATTACGAAAGTGACAACGAGTATTCATTGGCATCACAAAAGTGGCATCGAGTGTTTGTTGACATCACAAAAAATGAATAAGACAACAATTCGAATAATGTAAATAATTACAATACCTCATCTGAGAAATACAGACAGATTGTGAATATTTGCCATTGAATATTGTTTTCAACACATCATTATTTGAAAAAGACAAACATATCGTGTAAAATAAATGCTTAGTTTATAATTAGGGTAAGAATTTTATGGCAAACCTATAAAAAAACATGAATATTTTTTTTGGCTCAACCCAGAATAGATTTCACTCGCCGCACCGCTCCAGAAGACAGCCAGAATCTTCGATTGGCTTTCAGTGATACGCTTTGTGACACGTAGATATTAAATGCGTGAAGCCAGCTCCTCAGAGACAATACAGGGATGTTAATAGAGTTTAGGTTTTGTATATGCACAATATCGGTCTTGCCACTAACCGGGAACCGTCATGCAGTCGGCTGTACATGAGCACAACCAACCAAAAACAAAATTAATTTGCAACATAACGCTACATTTCACCGACAAAACACGACGGTGAAATTTGTAGACTACCCTCATATATCCACTTATATACTTACATGAAGTAACATTACTGTCCTACACACACCTACACACCTAATGCGTTTCTTTATTTACACAGTCTTGCACTATCACACACTTTAACATCCTAAATGTTCCTCATACATATTTATATATGATCTATTGCGTTTATACACATGACGCGTGTCTGACTAATGAAAACTACCAAAAATCATAACATTCCAATATTTTGCATCTTTGCTTTTTCATTTCGATTTTTGATATCTGACGAAGCTTTAATAAAGTTGAAACATGTTACATTGAGTCTCGTTTCCTACTTTGATCTTCATTTCATCATATCATCTTGTCGGATTCTTATCCATATTTGATCTACATTTGATCTTCAACTCATATGTGTGTGTGTGTGTTTGTGTGTGTGTATTTTTTGATGAAAAATATGCCACATTTATCATAAAAGAAATTTACTCAGAAAGAAAATTTTCGAGAATGCCGCTATCCAATCGTATCAGAATATAAATTTACATCCTGTTTTCTTTCTAATTTCACCTTTCCTGAAAGAATTACTACTTTTCCAAGCCAACACACTCGACCACAAAAATCTGAAAAAGTCAAAAGAAAACTGTTAAATAAATAACTTAAAGGGGTGGAAGTTGCACAGCACATACCATAAAAACTGATCTACTTCTGTATGGAGCACTGTTTTTAAAATAAAAACAAAAATACTAAAAAGATTATTTACCTAACGTGTTCTTTCCTATTTTTTTACATGTACACACACACACACACACACACACACACATATATATATATATATATATATATATATATATATATATATATATTAGAGCATGCAGTACATATGTTATATCATAGAGAAGTAATTATACAAAGAATTAATTATCAATGTTGATGTGATTAATCGCGAAATCACTTCGCTAACAAGACGTAATGAGACATTAACTTACTATCAGTTCTTTGAATAACACGATTTTTATGAGATGGAATTGATGTGACTGAGCCGTGCTTTCGACAATTTTCGTACATTAACCAGCATCATCAAGAATTTTTTCTCGCACGAATAAGAGTTAAATTAAAGAGATAAAACACTTCATTTTAGTTCAGTTGTATTGTTATAGAAATTAGACTAATTTTTAATTTTTTTTTTTGTCATTTGAATAAATAACTTTGAGGTTTACGTTGTTACACAATATGAGGGTACATAACCTTAAAAATAAATTAATATATAGCACAGGTTATATGTATATTTTTAAAAAGATATTGTAAACCATAACACAATACAACCATGTTTTTTTCCAAAGGCAACTAAAATGGTGCCATTGTTAGTATTTAATTTCACATACAGGCCAATAATTAAATTAATTGACATTGCATTCAAGAATGATTTTTATTCACTCTAATGATTATATATATTACAGGTAGTATTTTTGGAAAAAAATCATTAAAACTTTCATTCAGTCTAATGATCACA